TACATGGTTTTGGTAAGAAGGAATAAAAAATACACGTTTATAATTAAAAATTTAAGTTAAAAATGGAATGTTAAAATAGTAAGAAACACCAAAAATCGATCAAAAAAATAAATATGCTTCCTTTTTTTACTTTATACGTATTTTAAATAAGGTAACTTTATTATAAACACTGTAATAATAATAATTTTAAAAAAAAGTATGTTCCTTTTTTGCGATTACCGTGTATAAAAAATTACTGTCTTTAAAAATATTGAAAACATTTCCTTGAACAAAAAATATTCTACTACCTTAAAGTAGAAAAATTAAAATTAGACTTTTGTTTCCATTTATACTTTATAGGTATTTTAAATAAAATATTTTCTTATACATGATTTTGGTATGGAAGTGTAACACCCCGGCCCCCACCCTAGTCGTAAGTGTCTGTTCTTAGGATTGTAGACTGGCCCCACAAACCAACACAATTCTTTCCCGCGCACTTTGTCCTCACTCATGCGCGCCCAAGGAAACTTTTCAGGAGGTCACCCATCCTAGAATTGCTCCAGGTCAAGCACGCTTAACCTTGGAGTTTCTAGATGATGAGCTCTCGAAAAGAAGATGCACCTTTTTGGTATGGAAGTGTAACACCCCAGCCCCCACCCTAGCCGTAAGTGTCTGCTCTTAGGATTGTAGACTGGCCCCACAAACCAACACAAGTCTTTCCCGCGCACTTTGTCCTCACTCATGCGCGCCCAAGGAAACTTCTCAGGAGGTCACCCATCCTAGAATTGCTCCAGGTCAAGCACGCTTAAAATTAAAATTAGACTTTTGTTTCCATTTTTACTTTATAGGTATTTTAAATAAAATATTTTTCTTATACATGATTTTGGTATGGAAGTGTAACACCCCGGCCCCCACCCTAGCCGTAAGTGTCTGCTCTTAAGATTGCATAGATTTTCATAATTAGTTTTGTTCGAGTGCATTTTTAAATCCCTGTTGTTAAAAACTAATTTTAATTTAGTAACATAAACTAGTATCACACCCGTGCGTTGCACGGGTCATAGGTACTAGACCTGGCAAATCGGTCGGTCAGGTCGGGTTCGGGTTCGGTCACCTTGGGTTCGGGTTACTTCGGGTTCGGTTAAGTTCGGGTTCGGGTTGATAACTACATGTTCATGACCCATTGTCATCGGGTTCGGGTTGACCCAACGGGTTATGAGTTTCATTTATTTTTTGAAATTTTAAGTAATTTTTATGACTTAGTGTCAATATGACGGATAAAAAAATTTAAATATGTAGAAATTTTTGAAAAATGTAAGATAAGTATGAGACATCATTAAAATTTGTTATGATGTTATGAATCTATACACAAAAAATGAGTAGTAAGCAAAGAAATATAATCATAATCTTATTTTTATAACACTTTGTTTCATATAAAAATGTATGATTCTAAAAAAATATTAGATTAGCGGGTCGGTCAGGTCGGGTTCGGGTTCGGTCGGGTTTGACCCATTTTTAGCGGGTCATTTCGGGTTCGGTCAACTTCGGGTTCGGTCAGCAAAACCTTTGTTCAAAACCCAGTATTTTCGGGTCGGGTCTCGGGTCAAAAACAGGTCGGGTCATTTTTTTGCCAGGTCTAAATTAGGTACGGTACTAAATTAAGATCATTTTTAGGAATATAAATTGGTATATAATGAAATATAGAAATTTCATTATTTTAAAGAACAAAAGTAAAATGATTTACAAATTTCGGAAGACTTATTTATAAACTACATCACTCGTATAATTCGTGTGAGCATTATATTCACTTCGTTGTATATCAGAATCTTCAAGTCATTGTGATTTATTACTCTTGAAACTGCAACAAACACTTGCCCATGACTAAATTATTAAATCTATTTCAATATTATTAAACATGGAAACTTGATATATTATTAAAAATTCCATAATGTAATACGTCATATGCACATTTATTATTAATCATTACACATGTAAACATTAATCTGTATTAATTATTAAGCATAATTATACATGGAAACGTTCCAAAGATGAATAATGACCGTGGATCAAGATTCTCATGCTAATAGACGGTTCATAACGTAGGTGCATTTGGGCGGGAAAAATTTCCCCTGCTTTTAAGAATATATAGATATAGATAGATATAGATATGACCGTGTAATGCATGGTGTGATACCAGTAAAAGTAAAAAATAAAGTGAAATTTGCACTAAATAGGACTAAAACATAATGACTTTCCTAATTTAGGACTTAAACTTTATTATTCCCTAAATAGGACTTATTAATGTCTTAGTAGAAGGAATAATGTCCAGTAATGATGGACATTTACTTGAATAATGACTAATTCATAATGACCAAAAGTCCTACATTGGGAAATAAAAACATATGGTCTTATATTGGGAAAGTCATTATGTTTTACTCCTATTTAGGTAAATTCAGGGGAAAAGGAGAAGAAAAAGAGAAAGAAGAGTAAAAACTTACCCTAATGAATTTTAAGCAAAACTTCCCAGTTCCCACCACTCCCAAGTCCCAACGCCATGCCAATTGCCAAACAGCTTAACAGCCAAGGACATGTCTACAAGACTACAACTAGGCTGAAGTGTCCCATCGTTCTTTCTCCACCACCTTTCCCCTACTCAGCAGGCGATGATCATGACTCACAAAAGGCAGCCTTTCAGTGCAGCAAGGACAACAAATCCAGAAAAGTGCTCTAATAATGATCATGAAACCCCCAATGTTAAGCTTCCCCATTTTATTGATATCCAGGACTTCATAAGTTCCCAACTATCAGGAGTTTGAAAAGATATGAACTTTGTGGAAATGGACCCAGACCCATTTGCGGAGGAGCTTCTGCTTCCGCAGTCGGTGCTCGAAATCGTGGAGTCGCCGCTGCCGCCAGCGGTGGAGGCGTTGCTGCAGAAGATTTGCTCCGACCAGTCCCAGAAACCGCCGGACCTCTCGGTTAGGAGACGGCTGGCCGCCGTCGGAGAGGCAGCGGCTACGGAAATCTTGAGGAGAATTGCGGGCCGTTCCATCAGAAGAACATTGAGCGGGTTCATAATTTACATGCTGGATAGGTACCCAGATTGCCTGTGTGAAGAAATTAGAAGCCCAGTTGTTCCCGCACCAGTGAAATCTGTGGATGAAAGAAGTCCAAAGAATTGTGTTGAGTTCAGGAGCCCCATTTCCACACCGATGAAATTCGAAGACAGCAAGACCCCCACATCCACAGCTGGGAATAAACGACAGGGCAGCTTGTTACGCTATTATGCTCCAGGTCTTCTGTTCTCTTTCGTCGAACTTTGAACCTAGGGTATCTGTCAACTCTTGTATGGAGTTTGAGGGTGAAGTTTTGAATCAGAAAAATTAAACAGCCCGTGGGTGTTGTTTTATTATAGAGTATTTTGGTAAGTAAAGGTGTTTAAGGTTTGTTTTATGTCTCAGATACTCCGGGGAGTTCAGAAGGGCCGAATCGCCGGAAGGCTATGCGCCCGCTATCATTTTGTGGGTTCAATGAGAGTGTGAACTGTGTGATGATCAGCGAACAGTTAAGATTGCTAAGCCAACTTGAATTTCGGAAGTTGTTTCTAATATTGAGCTACATTGGCAGGTTAGTGACTTTTTTTTGACATATTGTTGACTTGTTCATCCCACATCGGCAATGCAGCCTTATATTGTGTTACTATTTAATAGCTTAGGTACCTCAACCTCTTGAGTTAACTTTTGGGGTTGAATTGGGCCCAAGTCTAATGTTTCAACACATATTTATAGTTCGTTCAGTTCAGCACATAAATTATTCAAATATTTGAAGTACTAAATCATTCGAATTTCAGTTTGATTTAGTTCATTAATTTTTATTCGGATTTCACTAGTATGATGGCATGTCATATGAATTGGAATATTGTGATATTGCTTTCAGAAAGAAGCTGGAAGAGGTTATATCTCCAGTTGCAGCAATGGATATTTTGAAACTCAAAAATCAACCTATGCCACAATTTGAATCATATATGTGGAATGCCTATGGACATGAAAGTTTTGTTAAATCCGAAAGACCTAAGGTAAACATCACTTCAGATGATCTTCACTTTCTTTTCTTATGTGTATGCACTCCATCAGCTTTTTACATCTTTAGTTAGAAATTACTGCTAGTTCTTCATTTTGTTTGAGTGAAAAGAATATCATAAATAATGATCGTTGCAAGGCTGTCTAGAAGTGAATTGCTCTATTGGCCTGAGGAGACTGTTCAAATGAATGCATACTAT